GATAATTTTTAAAAATAATTATTGTTGCATTTAATTTGTTTTAATGCAAAACATTAAAGCTTACTATGCTGGAAGGGCACAGTGAAGCCCTTACAGTATGTAGCACCTCCTGACAGCCTCCACAAGGCTACTAAATGAATGCTTATGGGTAACAAGGTGTCTTTGGAGTAGCCATAAGCCTGTACAGACTAAGCTAGACTTAGCAATGGCTGAGTTTCCACCACACTGAAGCTACCAATGCTGTCTTCTGTGAATCCTTAAATGGCCTTTTCCTTTGCTTACTATCATTTTTTAAGCACATTTCCCTGTATAAAGCTTAACATACTGGTAAAATGTGAATTGATCTGTTTACATTTTGAAGTCAATATCATTGTCATTAAAAGGGTTGCAAATTTAAATAATACCTGTTTAAGGTAGCCTCGTGATCAGCCTATCTTTGGCATTATACATCTTCATGCTGAAGTACATTTGATTTTTAGCACTGTCAGCGATGTTTCTAGTCACTATGGACCAATTCCCTGGAAAAACTCTGTCTATCTCTGTCTTTCTGTCTATCTGTCTCTCTCACTCTGTCTCTCCATCTCTCCCCACCTCCCTCCCCCTCCATTCACCATCCATTATGTCCCTTTGCTTTCTATAATGATAGAAATGTGTGAAGCTTACTCAGCATCCTGTGTTCCTGCTTCAAGCTTCCCCAGTGTCCAGGAGAGAGCAAGCCTATCTATCATTCTAGCGCTAGCCTCACAGATCAAGCTCCCAACGTCGGCCTCTCAAATCTCAGGATCCCATCCTTCTTTTCAGTATTTCAGGCTTTTGCTCACAACAGCCATTTCTGTCTTCACTTGTATATAAATCCATCTTGACGTCTCTTTCAAAAGCTTTATCTTCGATGCTGATAAATCTTATGATTTTTCTCTTTCTTTTATGTCTTCAAGATCTTTGCCATCCCGATGCCTCTTGCTGCTCTTCCAGCGAGTTCGGGCAGTTTGAATTCTAACACAGCTGTGAAAAATGCTCGTGCAGGTGTGCCAAGTAGTTTTCTTTCATGATATTCTGCAATATTTTCTTGTTTCACTTTCCAGCACATTTTTGCTTCATCTGATGTTATTTATGGATTCATAAAACTTCTTCCATTATATTCATGAAATAACTCTATTATTCCTGTTGCCCTTGACTGAGAAATCTATTGGTTTTGTTCAGATGGTTTATTCTTCCTTCACATTCTTCATAACTACACATTTCCACAATATCCTATCCTGGTAACCATTAGTTAATCATCACTCCTCTGATCAATTATATTATAATTCCTTGCCATAGACACCCTCATGTCCATGTCACAGCTTCACCCATCTACTTTACCTCATGTGACCTTTCCTTCTTTGTGCTAAACTAAACCCAGTAGCCTTATGATTCGAGGTCAGCAGTGCTCTGGTCCTTTCCTGATGCCTTTGCCAAGCATGGAAAGATGTTTAAAGCCTTTGTCTAAAAACCACCCTAGGGTGTGGTCTTCTTGACAAAATGGTACATAGTGTTAGTATCTAGTTATCTCAATCATAGAGTTCTTAACTTCACAATTTATTCATCTGAAAGTATGACAGTCAGGATTTATTTACTCATTCTCTTACAATGTGTTAGGTACATAGAAGTTGATCAACTGACTTGATTAATGGCTTAATGTTAAACATTATTTAAAGAAGTAATATGTGCATTGTGTCACAAGAGAGACTTTTTAAAAAATCTTAACAAAGCCTCTTCAAACAGATGAATGAGAAATAGACTTTTAAACCGATTTCTCATAGGAATGGACTGTGGTGTTGGCTAAAAAGGCATCTCAGCTTTAAAGCAGATTGCCTGGGTTCAATCCTTGCTCTCCCACCCAGCTCGAGGTTTGGGGAGTCAACTAACATCTTTGTATGTTAATATCTCTCCATGAAAACAGGAGGAGATAACATGAGATCAAATGAGTTATGTCACATAGTAAAAACAAGCCTGGTATTTATTGTTACACAAATGTCAGCTATTGCTAAATGCTCATTACACACATAATGATAACGCCTCAGAGTTGAAAGAACCTTCACTTTATAATTGAAGAATCGAGGACTGAAAGTAACTAACCGCCTCACAAACACATAGCAAACCTAGAAACTAAAAACAAACAAAACAACAACAACAACAACAACAAATAACCAGCTTTATTGACATATTTTCAATGGGATTTTTCTCCTCAAGGATTTCTAAATCTGATCAGGAGCTAAGGGAACTCAAGGCTCTTCAGTTTAACTCCCCCACACTGCATGGTTATTTATCACAAACATCGAATCTTTGCCGGGAACGCCATTTCATAGATTCTCAGTCACAGGAATGGAGCATGTGGGGATTCTAACAGAACTTGTATTATGACCTCAAGTAAAGCTAAGAAACACATGAGCAACAGGACTAGATGCCAAGGTCAGGTCCTCTGAGTTCAGATGAAGCCACTGAATGAGCATATTCTGAAAAACAAAAACGTTCCGGGGAAAACGTGGTCTGGCAGAGTCATTATAAAGCCACAATCCAGGCCTTCCTGCCCATACACAGAGGCTTTGCAGGCAGTGAGAATGCTTTGCCTGGGAAGAATCCTAAATGACGATTTTGATGAACTCTGAACAACCTATTTAACAGCCAGGAGAGACACAGGAGCCAAGTACCCATAGCAGGCATGATTTCGGATGGTTTCAGCTTTCTCTTTCATTGTCTGGAACAATATTCAGCCTGGTACACCAGAGTTTTAAAATTCAAGCTAGCAGATATAGAATCTCAAAAAGAATTACAGCAACACAAAAATTGCTATTAAGTAGGCACACATAAACCTGTAAGAAAGAATTCTCTTATCAGATTGGGGGACATGCTGTTCTCTGCCTAAACTTAAAAGGGGAATAGATTTAATTTCTCTCTAATGAAAATAAAATCAGTATAAAAAAAAAACAGGAGCTATGTCGAGAAGGTCACACTAAGTAATCACCCATTCGTCCACAAAGAATGATCACCCACCAGCTTAACAGCCAACAAGACACAGAGAACCACATTCTCACTGTAGGATTATTTAAAATGCCTCGTTGTAGGATGCAGACTCTGAGCTTTATTTTTATTGCTAGAATTTTATTTCTTGAGTATGAATTTTCCTTTACATTGAGTCAGAAAGTTATGTTACCTTCCTTATATTGAAGATGGCTCAGACTCCTCCAATGATCCTACAGTGACGCATGGTTCCTCCTTCGTGTTTATAATATTTTTTATAAATCTCTAAATTTACTTGTGACAATGGCTTTTTATAGCTTTGATTGTAACCTAGCCTTTAACCGCTGAGCCATGTGTTTAGCCCAACGATGATTTTTTTGTATTTATCTATGTGTAATGTCTGATTTGTAGACTATTCTTTCCTGAGGAGAGACTACACATCCTATCTATCTCTGTATTCTTCCAGAGCCTCCTCGTACCTCAGATGTACTATTTGTTCAGTAAATGTGTTGTTTAGTTTCAACTATACATTTACTAAGCATTTCCCACTTAAAAAGTGTGACTAATGGAGTTTTAGGGTTGGAATGTCTTTTCTTTCCATTTTTGAGATATCCTATTTTTTGAAGCAAAATATTTAAAAAAAAAAGACTTTAGCAAATCAGCATATTGGAGTGTTGCTTCCTTACTATGCAAAACGTGCCTAGCAAATTTTGCTGAATATTACTGTTATGTCAATAGGTTTTGATTGAAGGGGACCCTAGCATCTTCTTGTGATAGAGGAAAACAGAAGACCCAGAGGTGTATCAAGAGGGCTGTTCCAGAAAGACCATTGTGCTGCCTATAAAAACCACACTGCACCCAGGTCCTGATTCTGAGATCCAGTAAATAAGTCCAAATCTCCACACTGCCAAGTTTTCTCTCTAATGGGTTTTCTGAGAAATTAATACTTAGTACATGCCCATTAGGCCCATAGACAAGCTGGCTGAATGATTTACAATTTTAGTCTAAAATAAAAATGCAGAACCCTTTGAGCCAAGATTATGACTTCAAGAGAGTGACAGGAGAACATGAGGTGAATAAAGAGCCTTTCTAAGCACAAGACCTTCTGTGTCTTCACTGGTCCCACACCTAGGAAGCCAGACCTGTCCTTCCTCAAAGAGCTTCTGTACAGTGAGTGGCAAACAGCCTGTGACTATGGACAGAAGCAAAATTCAAGTGCATACACGGAGCTTCAGGAAGCTGGAAGAAGTTCGTAATTTTGAAAAAGGTAAGTTTAACTTTAAAAAAGTATTTTATGGGTATGCTTTGCCTGCATGTACGGATATGTACCACGTGAAGGACTAGTGCCTGTATAGGCCAGAGGAGGGCCTCCCATCTCCTAGAACTGGAGCTACAATGACTGTGAGCATTGTGTGCGTTCTAGGAACCAAGCCAAGTCTTCAGAAGCTGTTCCTTAACTGAGCCACCTCTCCAGCACCACTAAACTTAGTTTGGGGAGAGCCGCTAGAGAAGAAAGCCATGGATTAAAGGAGTGAGCAAGCAGGAGTCGCCTGTTAAAAACTTTAGAACAGGGTTGATTTTTAATGAGGTCGAATCACATTAACATAAGAATGGCAACTGAAATTGTAGACTGGAAAGGCAGGCAAAGGACAATCATAAAGACTGAACATCACAAAGGCCCACCGTGTACCGACTAATTCCATGTCATTTTAAACTACGTTTGTGTGAATAATCATTTTACAGATTCATGTAAACCATAGTGATGCTTGCAGGCTTTGCTATATATTAATACTGAATGCAATATTTGAGGACGCCTAGCAGGTCTGTTTCCCTCATGGCACAGCTCCTAGTCTGGTTACTAAACGCATTTCAAAGGCCTGCTGCTGTTCTTTCTGACTCTGTCCAGAGCCCCAAGGAGTCAGCCCCTGCTCCTCCTCCCGCCCCCTTCATTCCACGTGCCGGAGAGTGGGCGGTAGGATTACTTCCGGGTGACGGAGGTCAGCCCCGGCAAGATGGCGGCCCCCATGGAGCTCAGCTGCTGGGGAGGAGGCTGGGGGCTCCCTTCAGTCCACAGCGAGTCCCTGGTGGTGCTGGTGAGGCCGCCTTGCGGGCCGTGGCGCGGGAGGACTGGGCTGGCTAGCCGCGGGCTCCTCTGGGGACGGGGGTCCGCCTGCAAGCGTCAGGTCCTGTCGACCTGGCAGCGCTGTCCCGGCAGTGGGAGAAGGCACGCCGGCCCCGCGTCGGCAGGCCCTCCCTCCTGCAGACCGAGGTCCCCCGAAGCGGGAAGCCTGCGCGTCCCCGACGGCAGACGGGGGAGGGGCGCGGGCAGCCGTCGCCTGCCTTTGCGGATGCAGCTGTCAGAGCCGCGCTGCAGACCTGCATGACTGCTCTAAATGTCTAAAATGTCTTATTGCAAACTCTGTTTCAGGCTTATGCCAAATTTTCTGGCGCACCCTTGAAAGTCAATATTATAGATAACACCTGGAGAGGTTCAAGAGGTACAGTATAAGCTTTCACACGCCCCTCTCTGCCCTTTTTAACAGTTGCATCCCTTCTTGCATTAAAGCCATATAGCCCGAGAGTACTTTGGGCATCTGAGCTTCTTAGAATGACCTTGGCTGTGCGTTGGCTGTGTATGGTCATTCTGAGTGAGTAATAACTCAAAGTACAAATCTGAAAAATAGGAGAAACGAAAATGTTTTCTAGAACTTCCCTTTGTAAAACCCACAAACGATTGTACCCACACTCTCCTATATGCCAACTGGTATAGTTTTTAAGACATTGTAATCTTAAGACTAAATCACGGTGTTTGCTTGTGTGTAAACTGTTTTTGATTATAGGTGATGTACCAATTTTGACAACTGAAGACAGTATTGTTTCTAAGCCTGCAAAAATTCTAAACTTTTTAAGAAAACAGGTGGGTGGCTCCTTTAGAAGAAGTAGATCGTTTTTGGCATGTTACTGTTGTTATTATTACTATTATTATTTCAGACTGGGTTATACACTAATCTATGCTGGCCTGCCACTATGCAGCACAAACTGGCTTCAAATGCTAGAATTGTGGCTGTGACCCATTCCACTGGCATCCTGTATGGCTTGTTTTTAATTCATTATAAGGTGGTTTTAATTCTTTGAACCACTGGGAATGCCTGGATCTTGGCAACAGAGAGACAAAGACTTGCTTACCAGAGCCAAAGGCGTGCATTTTCCTGTGATTTGGAAGTATAGTGAAGTATATGTAATGTATTTACTGTGAATTTATTGAAAAAGATATAAAATTCAATTTAGTTATCCAGACTTATTCTTGTTGATAACGTTATCACTTTAGTCCTGTTGTTACTGTCCATTTCCTGCTAAGTGTGTCACCTGAGCTCCCACTGTATAGCAACTATTTTATTTGATAATTTTTGTTATTATTTGATTTGGAATAGCCTTGCGACTGGTCGGCAAGCATTCTGCTACTGAATTTATCCTGAGCTTTGTATTTCTACTTTTAAAAAGCACGTATCTGATAGTTACACGCTTTATGAAATCATGTATCTAAAATGTGTGAAAGTATAAATATTTATGTAGCGAGTCATGATGTTTAAGCATGCAAAGATTCATATAAGCACGAAGGTTATAATTGATTTGTCAGTACTTTAAGAAAAAATTCTGTACCATTAAAATTTGAACCTTTTCTAAATTGAGAAGTTTCCTTTTTTATGGAAAAAAAAACATTATAATGAACTGAAAGTTTTTTCCTTCCCTGTGAAAAATAATTGCTTTTATTCATTAACTTTGTACGGCGTGCCATACTCTGAACAAAGGTCACGAGTAAGCATGGAAACAAAACAATAGAAGTTAGTTGACAAGCTGTAGGCAACATTTGGGGTTGTTTGTGTGTGTATGTGTGTATGGTGCTTTAAGGAACAGTTTTCACTGGGTTAGTATTCCTCCCTCTTAATGTCAGGTTTGACATTTGTGAGGGAGAATAGAAGTTTTAATTTGTTTATCTCCCTTGTTCTAAGAATGTCCCTTGACCTCTGAGACACTTTTTTTTTTTTTAATAGAAATACAATGCTGATTGTGAGCTCTCAGCAAAACAAGGGGCAGATACGCTGGCTTACATTGCTCTCCTGGAAGAGAAGCTGCTCCCTGCGGTGGTGAGCATTTCTGAATATGACAGTATTTTAGTGACATAGTTGAAAATGTTGTAGTCTGTTTAGAAAGAACAAAAAGGATGGGGGGTTTTAAAGAGGAAATTTCTTGTATTAGTCTTGATCTTTTATATTATGACAAAATTGGATTCTATTAGACATTTAACTTCCCATTGAAGTAGATAGGCTGCTTTGTTTGTTTGCTTGTTTGGCTAAGAAAACATTCTACTACTGTCCAGTACAATTGTTTTGGAAATAAACCCCATTGGTGGAAGATGAAGCTTTGCTCCATGTATAGAATTGGTTATATTGTAGTCCATTCAATCTATGAATACTTGCTCAGCACTTACTGTCTGGAAGGCTTTATGCTGGTACTGAGATAGAGCAGTGAACAAAAGAATCTCATTTTACCTTGAGTCGTTTCATCTGAAAAATTTAAGTGAAGTTATTTTATGTGAAAGCACTGTCACATTGATTGGGCGGTCCTGGTTTATGTGAAAGCACTGTCACGTTGACTGGGTGGTGTCGGCTTTGGCAGAACATCCCTGTAATTGGTCACCTTCCTTTGGCAGCTTCACACCTTCTGGGTTGAGAATGAGAATTACTTTACTGTGACAAAGCCGTGGTTTGCCTCTCGAATCCCTTTTCCTCTCAATTTAATCCTGCCCGGAAGGATGTCTAGGGGAGCCCTGAACAGGATTCTTTTGACAAGGGGAGAACCTCCCCTCTACCACGTCCAAGAAGTGGAGGCGCAGGTACAGGCTGGATTCTCCCAGCAGGCACTCTGTCGGCAAGGGAGAGGTGGCTGCACCTACAGATACTACCTCCAAGGCGTGTTTCCTTCTTTTTAGATATACAGAGATGCCAAGGAGTGCCTAAATCTCCTATCAAACAGATTGGGAACATCTCAGTTTTTCTTTGGTGACACGTGAGTAAATTCCCTTTAAAAGTCATTTTGCCACTAAACCACTGTTTTGATATGTCTACCAGTGTACTTCAAAAATGTTTGACTTATGGCTTTCTTTGTACTGTTACTATGAAAAAGTCATAAAATCACTGCCACATTGAAAACCTACATGGAGTAGCCCAAGTCTGTGTTCCTGGGCCATGGCTACTCATATTTAAGTCAAGAATAAGCTATCTCTTATCTCTTAACAACAAAAAGTCAGGCCAGTGATTCTGCTGTGGAAGACGAGAGCCCTTCTGACTGAGGCCCCATGCCAGTAGCCACAGGGCCCCTCCTCCCACAGGCCATCCAGAGCACGTGCCTGTTGCCCTCTGCACTGATGCCCCTGGACACTGCACACGTGCCACCATTCCCTTCCTGATGAGCACCCTGGAGGAAATCACCCAGCTGTTTCTCAGTCCCAGGGCTGGTGGGTGGTTCTGGATTTGTGTTGATACTTACTGTATAAATATACTCTGTCATTTGTATCATGGGAAAAAAAACCCTAATTTTGACACATTCAGTTGTTTTCAGTGATATGTGAGTTAAAGCCAGTTCTCCCATTGCCCAAAAAAAAAGATCAATTTTCCATTTCAAAGGGGGTTCTGGGTGTTTAGCTGAGTGGCAGAGTTCTCAAATAGCTTACACAAGGCCCTGGGTTCTATTTGTAGCCCAGGATTGACTGAGTTTTTATAGGGTTTTTTGTTGTTGTTGTTGTTGGCATTAGTCTAACATTAGTTTAACGTACGTAGCTATAAAAGTATCAAACATTATTCTACCCCTGCTTCTTGTCCATAATATTTGTAGTTCACAACTTCAGTGTCTTCTGAATAAAATAAATGGTTAGAGTATTTTAAAAAGTACTTAGAAGGTAAGACTTCGACTACCTCACTTTTGGAAACAAAAATGGTAGTAAACTGTTTAAAATGTGATATTGTCTATTAGACTTGACAGATAGTTTGAATCCTAAAAGTGCCTTTAAGTGTCCTTGAAGTGCCCCTGAAGGAGAACTTTTTGTTTCCAGGCCTTCTACCTTGGACGCCTATGTGTTCGGTTTCCTTGCACCTCTTTATAAAGTGTGTTTTCCCAGAGTTCACTTACAAAAGCATCTGAAACAGCTCTCCAACCTGTGCCGCCTATGTGATGACATCCTGGACAGCTACTTCAGGCACGGCCCTGGAGGTAAGTCAGCATTTCTTCAGCTAATGTTTGTTCATATTAGGTATTTTAATAGTCTCCTGACAGTGCACAAGTAGAACAAGTCTGTGGATTGTCTTAGATTCTGGTTCAGAGCTTCAAGACCTGGTGGTTTTCCCGTCTCGTCTGCTCCCTTGTTCTTACTTACATGGAGAAAGGGGCATTTGACTCCAGCCATCCTCTAGACTTTACACCTTATGTGTATCTGTCTGTAAGTATTGCCCCCTGAAGTGAGTCATTTCCTTCTAAAAGGTTAAACCACGCATGTTGAGTCCCTGCTGAAAAGTAGTGTCTATCCTGGTGTGAGTGGGTGATCACTGTAAATGACTCTTACCTGCTGCTTCCAGCATTTCCCTTCATGAACAGAAATCAGTAGCAGATTGACTTTGGTGAGGTACACTCCCATGATTCTACTACTTGAAAACTGATTGCACCAAACTGGAGATAGAGTAAGTAGAGGGCTCTTGGCACTTAGGATGGAACTCTCTGTGACTGGGGCCTTGTGCTTAAGGGACTGGGGCACTAAGTTTGCATTTGTGGAGGTGGCTGAAATTGTCCTTTCAGAACCGAAGTTACGCAGTAGCTGGCTTAGGTAGACAGGCTATTTTTTTGTCGAGGGTTGTGTGCTTTACATATAGGGAGGTCTAGGAAATGGAAAGTTAGGGACCCAAGTAGCATCCGACCTTGCCACTCTGGAGCAGGCTGGCAAGCCTGACTGACCGAATAGCTCTGTGACACTTACCAAATCAGAAGGTCCTGGGATCAAGCTCAGAAAGTTGGACTTTTAAAAATCCTTTTAAATGTCTTGGGTGCCTGGTGAGGAGCTCGGAGGAAATTGCTGTCTTAGCAAGCTGCCTGTGGTGTTCTGACCAGTGGCTGATGTGTGATGATCAGAGAGAGCCAACGTGTCCTGAGACCACCATGCCTTTACTAACCACTATGGCTGCTGCATGCCATGTCGCTCAGGGTCCTCCACAGATAAAGTTTTCTGTTTTCCCTTCTGATTTCTTCTGGAACACTGTTGTCCCTCCTGACGTTCCCCTTGAACCCAAAATGTGTTTTTTTTCCTCTCCTTTTCTCTTTTGTTTTCGGGGGTGGGGGGTGTAGAGCAATTGGGAGGATGGGTAAACTGAAAAACATTGTTTTCAGTCTTAAACATCGTGAAAGTCTTTCAAGTCCCCTTTCTTTCTCTGGTTTCTCTCCTGGCTTCTCAGGGATCTCTCCAGCTGGACAAGAAATGGTAGATGCAAACCTGCAGAAACTCACTCAGCTTGTAAATAAGGAGGCCAACTTAATTGAGAAGGTCGGGTTACTTCAATCACTGTTTTTCTCTCTATGGGAGTGTTGTCATTTGGCTTGTGTGTTCACTTCCTCCTCTCGGTTTTTAGGAGTTTACTTTTCAAAAAGCTGTTTAAATATACTTTTAACTAAAATTTATTCAATACAGTGTTTTGAAGCCAACAGTGGCCTGGTTGCATTGAGGGAAAATTGAATAATTGTATTGGTTTGCTTTTTACTGTGTAGTTTGCATTTATCAAGTTGGGTGACACAAACATTGCCTTTAAAGAGAGCAAGTCAGAAGCAAGCCTTGCTTGCTATCCTGGCTCTGTCCCAAAGTTATTTCTGCAGGTCTAAGCGCCCATGCCTGGTCTTCCTTATCAAAGTAATGTCCCTTCTTTCCCAGTACCCTCCTTCCTTCCAGTCTTCTGGCCTTAATGTGGTCTGCAGGGTTTTTAACCAGTTTAGTTACTTTCTCACTTTGGAGAGTCTCAATTTGTGAGAGACTCTAAGGATCTGGGAAGGGGGAGAGAGCCAACCATGGAATTGTTGAGAAGGACTCTAACTGAAGTGTGTGGAAAGCTGGGAAGAGTCTCCCCAGGTGTCTGGTGAGCTCACTCTCTTTCACAGGCACTGAGGTGTAAGAGCTTTATGGGGTTAGCTCATGCAAGCCTCCTGGAAGCTCTATGTGCAGATTCTACTACTGTCCCATTTCACAGATGTGAAGGTGTGAGCAGTTGCATCACCTGCCAAGGTCTTTAGGCTGAAGAAAGTCAGGAGCAAAAATGGCTGTAGACACAAGGGCTGGTCCAGTATGAGTGCTGTAGCTTATTGTTCTTTCCTCTAGGCTGATGTGCAGCCAATAAATGAGATTGTGTGTCTGTTACCAGGGAGTGAGGAGGCTTGCCGCTAGCATTCTCGGGGATGGCCTTTGTTCCCGGTGTTCCGTGTGGTGGTATATTCTGGTAGTCTGAGTTCAAGCCTGGATGTGTTCAAGTCTTTGCTCAGTCCACTAGTCATCCTATTAAGATGTCTGTAAAATGCTACGATGGTTAAAGGATCTCACTCATCTAACAGAGGAAGGCTATTTGACAAAGTTGTCACTTTCTATACGTGGGGAATTCGTGACTGATATGGCAAGGGAACTATGAAGTACCCACACAGGCAGAAGACAAAGCTAGGAGCCCATCACTACTTTGTACCTACCTACTTTGGATCTTCATCAGTTTATGAAAGTCTTGTAAGCCAGTCACCAGTATCTGCTCTTGTGTAGGAAGTGTGTGATGGTGTAACAGTGTAGGGCAACTGGTCGTCTTAGACACACTGTTACAGTTTATAGCAACATTCTAGAGCTTAAAGGACAGACTCATGCTTGAGAAACTTAGGTCTTGCTGGAAAGTAGAAGCTGCTTGCTACAGTTGTTCTCTGGTCACACCTTTTTCTCATTTGAAAGTGAAAATTAATCTTTTCTGTTTTTTGCAATCCTTGCACATACACACTTTGCTAAAATGTTTTCTCCTTGTGTTGAAAGAGCATCCTGAGTAACAAGAGAAGTTTTAAATATTCTGCATTTATGCAATGCTCTGAAAACTGCCTATCTATTGGGTGAATGATAGGATATTATTTTCTGCTGGTTTTGTGGTTTGTGGCTGCTTTCAAGTCTTTAAAGGAGTGAAGTTGGTAGAGAACTCAATGCCAGATCTACATCTTGCACCTGCTGTGTTAGTCTTAGTGAAGGTGGTTTGTGAAGCTCTAACTAAGTGCTGAGCAATCCCTGTCCTAGTGTTACAGGGTGTGAGTGTGTGTCTCTGAACTTCTTGGGCATTTTAAAACTGTACTTTGTATGAATTGTTTCTCTGAAGTCAGCTTAGAAGTGATCAGTGCTTGAAAGACCTCGTGATTAGACCAAAAGAACACGTGCTTGCCATATCTTTTCCCAGAATCCTTTGGTCTGCATATTTTCAATTGGTGTGGGGTGCTTTTGCATGCTGGCCACTCTCAGTTTGGAAAAGAAGTAGAGTTAAAAAAAAAACCAACTGTGTTACAATAAAAAGACCTGGTTCAAGCTTCAGCTCTGATACTGGCTTTGGGACCTGCCTGGAAAAGGAACTTTTGAGCCTCTTTTGTTGTCTCATATAGGGTGGGGCTGTGCCTGTTAGTCAATGTGTGGGGAAGGTTAGCTGAGTGCAGAAGCATTACATCCACACTTACTTGTAGACGGTGTCTTAAGTGGGGCTCCTGTCAAGTCCAGCAGGGAATTCTTTTTCGTGGAACCTACTGTAACTTTGTGATGGGGTGAGTTAGAGCCACTTTGCTTTTTATAGATACCGAGGCAGCTGATATTCAAGGTCTGACATTTGTAATTTTTGAGCGATTGTTTGTCATAGGAAGATACTCTGTTAGTCCTGCAAACACCCAGCTCTGCCATCTTCCGTGCTGTAGACTAGATGGAGAGGCCACTCTCCACAGGAGTAGGGCCTCAGCCTTACTCAGATGTGTCTTGTACTTTCCACAGATGGATGGCAACCTTCGCCAAAGCCCTCAGCTTCTTCCTCGGAAGCTGCCGACCCTCAAACTGACTCCAGCAGAAGAAGAGAGTGACTCCTTGCAGCTGCTGTCACCCTGATCGTCGAAGCCAGCTGCAGCCAGTCTTATGATTGTTGCAGTAATTGCTGATGCCGAGTGTACGGAGACCCAGAGAACGCTGTAATGGGTTTAAGACTAAAGCAGAGGGAGCTGTATGTGACTTTCTTTTTAAATTAGGAAAGCTATTATTTTAGCTTGGCAGTGCATTTTAAATAAAGGTGAATGCTAAGCGAGCTGGGTGGGGGTGGGCAGGGCAAGCACATGGCACTGTATATACAGACCCTGCCTTCACCGTGGCAGAGCTTCGCTTTGGCCCAGGTGTTGCTGACCAAAAGCTGCAATTCTCTTCTGAATGTGCATTTTTAATTTAAGTTAATTTATTAACAGTTTTTCTCAGACTGGTCTCAATACATAATATGTGGCTTTTTGGCTGAGACCTTATTTTTCTTTTGAGAAGTCTGATGCCTATTTTAGGAACCAGGAAAAATAGAAATTATTTCAATAGAAAAGCCTGTATTTAATTTTAAAAAGCAGTGAGGAATGTGCTTCTTAATTATCCTCTTCTAAGTCTGCTCCTTTGGCAGTTTAGTACCACATATGCAGATGTTTAAGGGGGTCCATATAGTACCCCAACGCCAATAACACACGCGTGCGTGCGCACGCACACACGCCAGTATGATTGAGTACTTGCTGATAGGTTTTCTGTGAGCCAGCGAAGGTGAACATGTCAGCCTCCGTCTTATATCAACTCCAGAACTGGGAGTCTAGCTCGTCCTACTGTATTTGGCTGAAACCCTGTTGAAGCATGCTCAGTTAACTGTAAAGCCTCTGTGGGATGAGCCGTGGCGAGGGTCCTGGAACACTCTCGTGTGTCGGGTCTCAGTGCTCCATTTGACTCAAAGGAGTTTGTTTCATAATAAGCATATCATGTAGTCACACACTCTCTGACAAACTATTATTTCCTGTGTATTTTTAGTTACAGTTGAAGGATCCAAAGGAATGAGTCAGAAATAGCAGGTTTCTAAGACAATTGGTTGTGAATGGCCCATGCAAGGATTTGCTGCGTGGTGATTTTACATAGAATAGAAACTTGCTGATCTTAGTGGCTGAGGTGCTTCTGTTATTGTAAAAGTACTTCTGGGATTTTTAAAATAGGACCATGTTTGGGATTGTGTCTTACAAGATTACTATGGTGCTCAGAAAATGTTACCGAGTTCTGCAGAAACCAGGCTGTGCTGTCCAGAGACTCGGCTATCGTGAGCAGAGCGGAGTGCGGCTGCGTTTGACTACATCACTCCAGTTTGCTCTGGGTTTGGTAGATGTAAGTCTTAGGTCACTATAAATACTCACTCTTGAAAGCTTTAAATGAGACACAAGGTAATCCTCAGTCTGTCCACCTCTTTAAGTGCATTTGCATTTAGGACATGTCCTCAGTGAGTTCACAATACTTCTTTAACAAAGGCTGTGTGTGTGAGGAAGTGTGTGTGACTTAGATTGTGGGATGTGGGGGTGAATGTGTGCTAGTGAGTGGGTTTGTGCATGTGTGTGTGAGTGAATGTGTGTAGGGTAAGTGTATGTGTATACATGTATGTGTGCGGTATGTGTGGACGAGGGGTATGAGTATGTGTGAGTGTAGGGTGAGTGAGTGTAAGTATGTGTACGATTGATCTTCTAAGGCAAGTTGCAACAATCTGAAATCTGAGTATATAAGAGTATTGAGTTTTAAAATTAATGATCAAGAGGCTTCATTGTCTCCAGGATTGATTTTATATTGAAAAGGGTGGTTGACACATTAATCATAAATCTGTTTATGCTTTAATCAGGGTTAGCCATTTTCAATTATTGTTAATAGTAAACCTTCCAAAAAGTATTTGAAGTAGTTTATAATTGTAAAATGCATGTAAAAAATAGGACAATTATTTTTGAAAGATAACAATTCCTAAGAGAAAACCATATCAACAGTACTAGATTATAAAATCTCACTCTGTGGGTGAAGTTAGAAGATGATACCTAGGTAAGTAAGTTCTGCTAATAATGTCTGTGAGGAAGGAACATGTGCTTACATGGTAGAAGAATTCAGCGGACCATGTTCACAAGACTCTAGACTTCAACCAAGGAGTGTATTGTACTATTTGTGCACTGAACTCTTCTTAATCAAAAGGGTTCATTTTAGAATAACAAGCCTTTGATCCTTTTAGTGGAGAGGATGACTGTGAAGTGACTTGTTTGCTTTATGGTCACCCTGCTCTGAACTCCCCTTAGCCTTCCGTTCTGTAGCCCGTGGGCTTCAAGACCACATTTCTGAGATGCAGAACCTTAGTTGGCTGAGGAGGAACGTAGATGTTAGTTGCTTAGTTCAGCTTGGTTTGTGTAAGCAAATGGGGCAGTGAGGAAGCTGTAACTGAGCACAGAATCCTTCAGGGAGCAGGCACACCGAGAAGCTCTTAGAAGGAGACAGTTTCTTAGACTGGACAAAGGACCATGGGGACCATGTCAGGATGTTTGTGCATGAGGTTGCTGGGCAAAGTGGTCCACGGCCTCGACCAAATACTGTGGACATTGTGTTTTGGAGATGGTGGTGGAGGACAGGATGAAAACAGGGACTGTGCTCATCTTCATTTTTGTTGATTGTACAAAGCTAGAAAAAGACTGGTTTGCTAATTCCCACAGGAAAACATCCTCCATGAAGACTGTCATCACAGTGGCGACCTAATGCGGAAGAGACCACAGACAAGGAGGTGGAGGTTTCTTTAAAACTTGACTTCACAAAAGGCTCACAATAACAAATTTCAACTTAGGGGTTCTAAAGGACCCGATACTTTTTTGGAAGCAACCATTTTTATTTCCAATTATTTATAATTGATAGATACAGTAACACAGGGAACAAGAACAAAGATACTTAAGTTAGAGGTAAGTTAAAATGTTTTCAAAGTCTAAAAATGGGCAAAACTAACACCAACAGAGGCAGAAACTCCTAGAATATTTTAAGAAAACACCTTGTCCAGATAGCTACATGTGATAGTGGCATTTGAGTTAGATACTGCCTCTCAAACATACGCACCTACCAAGCTTGCTACAAAGGTGTTTTATGGTAGGGGCCAACAGTTCTTCGACAGCCACAATGATAATCACTCAAAGGCAGAATAGAAATCTTTAAATATGCTCAGGAGTGAAAAGGATGGCTCAGTACTTAAGAGAACTTACTGCTCTTGTGAGGACCTGGGTTCAGTTCCCAGGACCTATGGCAGGTGGTTCAGGGAGCTGGCACCCCTTTCTGGACTCCATGAGCACCTGTACTCAAAAGGTGTATGTACCACCCTCCCATACACATACACATATAATCAACAGAAAAATACATTTAAATATACCTAGGAAGCTGAATGATGAGGCCATGGAATATCTCACTTCTATTTTGTAATGCTTTAAGAGCCTATAATTATATCAAAATAAAAGGACTTTAAAAAAAGTAAACCTAATAGAGTAAGTTTATCAATATCTCTGTATGTATATTTTAAAATTTAACACTGCAGACCTAGTATTTAGTTCCAGATGAGAACCATATTATATATTGATAAAATTTTTTATTTCATTTTTGAGTTTAAGGAAAAGGAGCTCATGTTTCTAACAGATGCTTCCCTGAAGATCTCCCTTGCCTTACAAGAATGCTTCTAACAACCTCACACCAAAACTAATTTTCCTTTAAAATATTGAGATGCTTATGATCTTATGTTTCTGATCTGTGTTTTCCCCTATGGCAGCTGAGTTCATAATTGAGGGCAAGGCATTTTGAGTCCTCTCCTCTGTCTATGTGTGGACTTTCCTGTTGTCTCTTCTCTCTGTGTGCTCACAGTGTGGACCGTGTGGACTGACACCACCATCTGTTGCAGAAGGTGTGGCACAGGTGTGCACTTTTTGTTTTAAGCTCAAAGGGAGTTTGTCGTTGACTTTGTGTTGTCCTGGTTATTTTAAGAGTTGAAATCCCAAGCAGCCACAGAGATAGTCTGGGTTGTGACGATGGTCTTTGTGTATGTTCTTGGTGATAAAACTCACATGTTTGTCTCCCTGCCCCTGCTCCTGCTGTTGTTCAGTTACGTGAAGTTTACTTTTATTTCTTAGTGTTTTTATGTTTCTTAAACAAATTTTAAAGAAATTCATGGTTACATGACATCACAGATCAGTGTTCCCTCCCGGCCTGAAAGGGTTAACTGAAGCATCTCTGGACTTCAGAGTGTTGCTTTTCATGATGAAAAAGCCCAACCTTTGTTCTTTGTTTTTAAGTGTTTGTAAAATAATTTAGTGTGGAAGTTGCTGTTGGGTGTTGTAATCTCTGGGAGCCCAGGATGCTTGTTTTGCACTCAGGACTGTTGTGTCCAAAACAAATGAGCACTTTGGGAATTTAAAAGGCTTTAAAAAAATATTTTTCCAGAAAAACAGTCCATGGATCACTTAAAAGAATGACCATTCTTGAACAGCAACAGTGATGGAAAGGAAGCTTTGCTCGCTCGCTTGTGAATAGTGTGTGTGACAGCATTACTCCAGCAGAATAAGCTAGCTGCTTTCAAAGGGGGAAAGGGCCAGTTATTTTTGTGCCCTCATTATTATTAATTTGAAGTTATAAGGTAAAAACATTTAGTTTATGCAAGAGTAGATTCTAAGAGGGTATTTGGCAGAATATATTGTTCTAATAAGTTTGGAAAATGCTGGATTATGCAAAGCTGACTTGCTGAAGGCTTTTCAGAACCTTTGATGTGTAAATGTGTGGTTTTGGTTTCCAGCTTCAGAGATGTTTTATTTTATTAGCAAAGAGGACAGTGGGCCAGGCTGTGTGCAGGCACATATAGAGAGGACAGTGGGCCAGGCTGTGTGCAGGCACATATAGAGAGGACAGTGAGCCAGGCTGTGTGCAGGCACACGCTCACCTCCCAGGAGGTACTCACTGTTTCCACCTCTGTTTAATATATCCCTTCCCTAACTTATTTTACTGAGGATTTTTTTTTTAAAGTAGGTGTTTTATGGGATTTGTGTTCTGAGAAATTTACTTAGGAGAACATTCAGTATTTTGCTCTCTGTGCTCAATACAAAGTTTCTGCTTTTGAGTGTTTGTCTGGTGATAGTAAGAGTAACTAAACAAGCTTCATTTCACCCTAGAGTATAAACCAGTTCACTAGTGAGGCTCTGGCATTGTCAGCCTTTGCAACATATACACACAGTCACAGGCTTGGTGCTCCAGGGTTTGGATGTACATTTGAAGCACAGCATGCATGCGTGCGTGGGGTCTGAGTGCTGGGGTCATGGCGAGCATCCAGCCACATGAAAAGCTCTCGGATCTTAGTTCTGATGCTTCGGGTTTCCTCTTGAAGATTAGAGCAATAGCTGTAATCATGTAGTTTATATCCCAGATCCTTGGCAATCACAGGAAGTGACCTGCCAGAGTTTGCATCAGCCTCTGAGAGTCATGTCAGATGGAGAAGGCCGTCCTGGCTGTTGTTCTTTGGGCCGTGGGCTGCTGGCATCTTGATTTGATGGAGGAGAGTGTACACAGCCTCTAAGTGCATAAAGATGTTTTGGGTTCTCTTACGTCTTATTGTTTTGTAAAATAGAAATCATCTTTAAGTGAGACTGAAGTTTTGTAGCTTCATTCTAGCTTTCTGGAAGATCAACAGAGAAAAAGACAAGAACTGTATATGAGGCATATTGACTCCATCTCCCAAGGCAGTCTCTGAATGGGAAGCAATGTAAACATCTGTTCTAGTGTGCAAATACTATAACCAGCTATGGTGGCCGCCATGGCCTCATAGTCCAGCCTTGCCTACTGTGAATGTATTTTACCTAGAGCTGATGTGGAAATACCCAAAAGTAGAAATGATGGTCATTGTTAAGAATTTATTATAATAAATGAGAAACTGGATATAATCTCAAAATAGCTATTTTCTCAATAAAATTTCAAATCATCTGAGTGTTTGTTAATTCTTGGTGTATAACATTCATTGACATGGTTGTCTTCCTTGAGATGAACTTTAGTGGCTACAAATAGTTATGAGTTACTGGGTGCTGGGGTGCAGCTAGATGACGTACTGTTCCCTTTCACCCATTTTGTCTAGAATACATGGGTACCATTGTGAGAGTGTCTCCCATGCTAAGTGGGCAGATGCCACTGACCTGCATGCCACAGCGGACACCTACAGCTATGTACGGTTGTGGCTTGTTCATTCTTCAGTTGTCAGTCTCTCTTCCTGTTTGCCCTTTACTCGGCCCCCAGTCCAGCAATGTTCCATTCAGCTGAATGGAGACATTAAGGAAAGAACACTGTTTTAGGCTGGATGGAAGTTACAGGATTCTTTTTTCTCCTTTGTGTGTGTGTGTGTGTATGCTCATCCACATGCATGCGTGGGGATGAGCAGGGCACAGGCCAGTAATAAGCCTGATTGTCATTTCTCAGGTGTTATGAACCTCTTCCTGAATCTTTTACTGCCCTGAAGTTCACCAAGTATACCCGTCTCTATGGCCAGCGAGTCCGACCTCAGTCTCCTCTGCTGGGATTACAGACTTTGTGTTACCACATACAGCTTTCTCAATGTCGGGTCTGGGGTCGGACTTAGGTCCTCATAAGCAAGTGCTTTATTGACTGAGCCATCTCTCCTCTCCCCCCACCCACCCATAACCTTTTTTTAATGGGCTAGGACATGTGTCTGTAGAGAACATTAAGGTCTATAGCTGTTTTCGGGATAGTCCCTGACAGGAACCTGATAGGTGACAGCCAGAGTTGTCATTGGAATATAATTAACATGTACTAAAATGGGAGCTCTTCCAGGACCTGGACAGGTAAGTGTTGCTCTCACTTCAGAAACTGCTATGTCTTTGCTGAGTTTTGTATCCACAAAGAACCTGAGGCAGCTGAGGTGGTGAGATATGGATGTCACCCGCTTCCTACAGGAGGGCAGCACAGAGTGCTGCAGTTGAAGGGAGGGTGGAATTCCCCCGAGGAAAGAAAACTGACTACCTGGGGGTCATGGCTGAGAGCCATTCAACAAAGAAGTCAAGGAATCCTCGATCCCCTCAGGGGATTGGCCTTGCCTGCTGCTATTTGGGGCACTCTGAATTCCTGAGTATTTAGTGGATGGTAGACTACAGCACAAACAGTATTTTGCTCTTCCTTTGCCACAACAGCTATTAGTAGGAAAGGTGAAGTTTTGCCTGCCTCCATTTGCCCCAGCAGAATGGAGATGAAGAGGCCGAGGGGCTGGGTGGAGAGATGGCTCAGTGGTTAAGCATACTGGCTGCTCTTTCCAAAGGACACCAGTTCGAATCCCAGCACCAAGGCTGCTTACAACCACCTTAACTCTACTTCCAGAGGATCCAAAGTCGCCTTCTGGCCTCCTCCCTGAGGCACTGCACACTTGGTAAAAAGGCGTGAGGAAAGACACTCATGCAGATAAAATTAAACGTAATTTAGAAAAACGCTGGGAACTTTGGATTTGAAGTGGAAATGGTGGTAAGAGGTCAGGATTTGCCATTCTGTGATCTGCATCCTAAGTGATGATCTTAGCGTCTTCCTGATCTCACAAGAGCTCCGGGAGAGAGCCATGGTCCATCCCTCCAGGCACAAGGGTCAGCCTCTGTAATCAAGAGATGAAGGCAGTTGTGCATCATCAGACATTTCCAGCTTCTAAGGCAACCAACCGAGGCTCTGAAAGTTGCACATTGCCAAGTGGGGGAGACACTTTAGCTTTGTCCTTTGTAATAAAAGAATGGAGAGAACAGACAAGCTTTTGCATTGTAAATACAATTAAGGGCTGGTTCCTTAGGTCTCACTGGGGAGGGGGACATTCTCAAGAGTTCACGTGAAAAAGCAAAATCTCTTGCTATCAAGGGAAGCATTGGTATTTCTCAATCAGGACCAAATAGACTTGAGGTTCATTTTAAATGCAGAAAGCAAACCGACTTCTTTGAAGACTTGTCACGTTCTTCCAGGTTTGATGTGCAGTATCCCAGCCTTCCCCCATGGGAGAGAAAATTGTCCTTTAAACCTGATAAACCATTTCCATTGTGAATCATACATAACATCTTGACCCCTGCTAAAAATGGCTGAGGAAAAAGTTGGGGCGGGGGAAGGGAAAGGGTATAGTAGGTGTAGAAATTAAGAAAAGAAAGCATTGCATGTGTATACAATCAAGACTAGTTATAAAAACGGGCAGAAAGTAAAATCATTGAGGCATACGGCTGAGTGTGGACTCCTGCGAACTTAATCCCCTTCTGTGGGTCTGAAGCTGTTTACCTGTCACACTTGGCAGGCTCGGCACACATCCTCTACTCGCTGGTGCCGTGCGGAAGCTCAAAAAGTGTCCACACCATTTGAATCCCATTTCTGTCCTGCATCCTTAATCTTGCAAGGAGAAAGCTTTCATGATGGTACGGAGTGCGGATGGGTTCCAAGCACTGGTTCATTGGAGAGAGTGTAGAAGGAGGCTTTCAGAGACTGCATTCAGGGAACTTAAAGTAGGACATAAGTGAGTGTCGTTTCAGTCTAGGACTGTCCGGGCTTGACTTAGACTCTTATTACATGTTGCTATAACTCTGTTTTGTGCTCAGCCTAGGTAATTTATAAAGAAAGGAAACTATTTCTTACCATTATTGAGACTGGGAGGTTCAAGAGTAAGGAACTGGCCTCTCGTGGTGGCCACAGGCTGTGTCATCTCCAGTGGGAAGTTCAGTAGAATGGAAATGAGGGAGAGAGGGAGGGGCTAAACTCACCCTTTTATTAGAAACTCCCACAAATAATTAACCCATTCCTGTAAAGCTAGCATTAGTTACTCACAGGGCAGGGACCTCAATGCCTAATCCCTTCCTGAAGTTTCCAACTCTCAGCACTATGGCTTAGGGATTAAAGTCCTAACTCATGGACTTTGAAAAAAAAAAAACACTAAAACCATAGCAAGTAGCAGTGACTTGCCATCTACACAGGTTTTCCTTCTGTCCCACAGACAGAGACATAGTGACAGAGACATCCCCAAAGGTCATCGGCCAAGGAGACGGCACCTGTAGCTTTTATGTCCAGTCCTGCAGTAGAGGACTGCAGGACATCCATTCACTATTGGGAAGCTTGAAAGATAATGAACATGCCAAACTGGGCGGAGCAAAGGCACGAGGCCTCGATCCTATACAACGAGCTATAGGCAACTGAGGAAAGCTGAGACTAGGAGAGGCAGCAGGAAATCCTCTCCATTCTTACTTTCATGCATGTACAGGAAGGGCGGAGGAGTTTAGTGTAGCTGAGATGAAACTTGGGAGTAGAGGAGCAGGGTGCTTCCTTGCATGTTCTCGGGCTCCATTAGATGTGTGGTAAGGATGAGTTTGTCGTCCCGAAGCTCTGAAGACGGGCAGGATGGGAGACGCCTCTGTCCAACAGAGGATTGTCTGAACCCACATACTGACGGGCATCTGTGAGAGACACAGGAACCCTTGCTGGCCTCAGCCAAGTTTTACAGAGCAGAAGCAGAGGATAAAAATGGGGTGACCCACCAGAGGCTTTGCAATGGAAGAGCTGCCTGCTTTAGGGAGGGAACAGGGCTGCGGAGTTCAGAGCACAGAGTGTCCAGGTGGGACAAATCATGGCTGTGGTTAAAAAGCAGAGGATGAAATCAGACAGGCCATCAAGGGATTTATCAGTGACTTAATCATGGTTAGGGGATGAAGAAAAATAAGATGGAAAAAGACAATGGATTTGGAGTTTAAAAGCCAGGTTGAGTTTAATATGCCAGAATGATGATTTTTTAATAACTTGATTTTTATTCTGAAATATTCTTTATTATCATGATGATCTAGAGATGTGGATGTCTCTGTGCATTTTTTAACTTATTAAAATGTGTAGGATAATGAGGCTGGGGGATGGCTCAGTTGACAACATGCTTGTTGCACAAACATGAGAACCTGAGTTTGGATGCTCTACACCCACATACAAATACATACAAAGCACATGTCTATTACCCCAGTTCTGGGGACATGGAGACAGATCGCTGGGGCTTGCTGGCCAGCCAGTCTACTTGGACCAGTGAAGCTCCAGGTTCACTGAAGGACCATATCAAACACTTAAAGCGGAAAAGCCACCAAGGGAAACATTCAATGTTGACCTCTGGCCTCTGCAAACCCATGGACCTGCACATCTATACATGTACACATATTCACATGGACTTGTGCATGCCCTTCTGCACACACAAACATTACAGTGCATAGGATACCAATAGAAAAGCCCTATACTAGCTATTGTGAAAAACTTTGGTTAACTAATCGGTGTCTGTTTCTCCAGTCTCCTCCTTTCCTTATGTCCCCCCAACCCCTCTCTCTCCTCTCTCTATATCATAATCTCGCGGTATTTGCTATTCTGCAGGAAACTTTTAATAACCAGAAAGTCCCTATAGGCCATTTTATACATTCAGTATTCCCAGGGCTTTCAGTGGCAGTATGGGGTTTCATTGTCTGGATGGAGCAGTGCTTTATTTTATCCCTTCTGAGGGCGATGAAGGTTGGTTCCTCTTACAGTGGTCTGTATTACCTACACTAAACTGTTTCTCAGAGAGATTGTACCATTTTACATCCCCTGCAGCCCTGTGCAACAGACACCATATTACTGCCATCCTACCAGCTTTATATACTGTTTTTTTTTTCTTTTTTACTTACTTGGTACAAAGTAAAAGAAATTTAATTATTTAATATATACTCCCAATAACTAACAAGATCGAATACTTTTTTCATGTTTCTGTTCTTTGAATTTCAGTTGTAAGTTATTGTTGTATTTTGAATAGAGAATATATTCAAGGCTTGTCTTGGAGTTGATTCTATTGGGAAACAGTAGGAACTTTTAGGGGTGCTGTCCACTGGGAGGCACGCACCTTTAAAGGGGACTGTGGGACTCCAGCTCCCTACTCCCTTCTGTTTCCTGAACTGTGTGTTCTGTGTGAT